CCCCCCCCCCCCCCCCTGAGGTCGGATCAATTGTTTCTGTAGACATTTCCTGGGCTCTGTGCAAAAGGCAACGTAATTATCGCTCTGAAGATGGGGGTGTCCGTGACTCCCCCAGGACACCCCTGCCCTCACTGATGCCCCCTCCCTCCATCCCACTGGGGCAGGTTACAGATTTGTGTTCTGCCTGAAACATGCTTACAGCTGAATCTTTCACTCATCCATCCATTACAGCCAGTGAGCAGAGGAGGATGTTGTAGGGCAGACAGACCATCAGCCTCCCACTCGGCACCTGGGCACCTCATTAGTGTAAAACCCAAAGCTCTGACAGCAGAACCCCGTACCCAAAGAGCACCCCCACCTTGTTCACCCTATTAAAAACCCTTTAGCTGAACTTTTGAACTTTGCCAGTCAGCCTTCATTGAGGCACGAGGTTCGACTTGCTCACAAAACTCACCTTCCTGAATAATTTTTGTCGCATTTCATCCTTTGGTTCTTTTTCACTTTAAATCCAAGTTAGAGCTTATTACTCAAAAATGCATGGTAGTAGTTCAGTATATCCACTGTGAAGTTCTGTCTGTTACCCTTTTTGTCACTTTCTTGCCACAGATCTTCTTGCTTTCTGGTTTGAATCTCCCACCCCGACACAGATGCTGGTCACACCTCCCCCAGCTCCTGCCATGGCTCCCCCCATGTGATTTGCAGTCCCGTCTTGGACAATGTGATTGCAGCTTTCACAACATTCCTCTCTTTAGTTCTCTGGGTTATCCTCTAATTTCTCATTTGGGCCCAGTCCCAGTGTGTGTGTGGGGGGGGGGGCATCTGGTCTCGAGACATCAGAAGTGGGCCTTAGGGCGCCCAATCAGAACGTGCCACACATGGTCATCCTGCCTGACACCTACAGTAGGTGGGGGGCATCATGTAACCACAGAAACCTGAAGCGTTCACAATGCCAGAGTCAGAAGTTGATGTGTTTAAGGGATATTTTTGTCCGATGGAGACTCTGGGAAGCAGCCACAGTGTTGTTTTATTCTCAGGCCTGGCCTGGACAGGCAGACTGGGGAGTGGCGGGGATCGCAGCCCTCCCTGGTGGGCCCCCAGCGCAGGCAAGCCGCCTGGGAATGCAGCTCACTGAGTGTGGGGGGAATCAGGGGGGCTGCAGTGGGGTCGTGTGAGGATGACGAGTTCACTCCTGAGAATGTTTTTCCAAAGCTCAGATCAGTCCACCCCAAAACCTGATTATGATTCTGTGCACATGTCACGAATGATGGAAAGAAGGGAAAATGCACTGGCTGTGTCACAGAAACATGATGTCTGAAAGACACACTGGCTGTCACAGAAACATGGCGTCTCAAAGACACACCGGCCGTGTCACAGAAACATGGCGTCTCAAAGACACACCGGCCGTGTCACAGAAACATGGCGTCTCAAAGACACACCGGCCGTGTCACAGAAACATGACGTCTCAAAGACACACCGGCCGT